ATAATAATATAATAATAATAATAATATATAATAATAACACCAAAATAAAGGCTTCAAATTTAAGAACGAAGTTTTGCATAGTGTATATAATCCGTATAATATATTTTTAACCATATAACTAAATAAGTAACCATATAAAATATCTAGTAGTCTTGTTATTCTGATTAAATTTTATAAATTTCTAAGTCTATTAGGAACCAAATATTCTTCTTAGATATTCTTAGTGAATATAACTGTACGAAAGAGGTGGGTTATTGCTTAAGTTAGTTGGATGGCTCTGAAGTGGTAATATTATGAAAATGTTTTCTTAAAAAGACTTGATAATTTAAGTAATTTAAAATTTAAGTGATAAAAAATGTAAATGAAAATTGGAATAAAAATGAACACCTTATTAAACGTTGAGAAGTTGAAAGAATTCAGGTAGGAACAAACCGAGCTAATACAAAGTCGGAATATACAGACGAACTCGTACATTATCAAAATAATGACTACATTAGCGGCAGTAGTAAAAAAATTACAGAAAATACTTTTATAATAAAAATGAAGTAAAAATTTTTTTTTGTGCAGAGTTAAGGTTGAAGTAAGGTACACATAGCAGCTCGTCTTACCACTTAGGCACACTTAGGAGCGGGAATTGAGGCCGTTTATATATACATATATCTATATATGTGCATACACACATACAAAGTCGCTTTAATGAAATAAGTAATATTTTTAATGCCTATACTAGTGATATCGAACAGACATTTCAGAAATGGAGAAACAAGCAATATCTTTAATTCCTATACTAGTGATATTGGACAGACATTTTAGAAAAGGAGAGGCTAAGAAGATATGTGGTTTCGGGCTATACCATATATGAATACGGGTAACACCGGAGCAAACTTCTAAAATATTTTCAATGTTGAAGTTAATATTATAAATAAGTTTTTAAGTGTGTAGCAACCATCGTTATATTAATACTACATTAGAAGATTATAAATCAAGAGACGTAATTACTGAGCGTAGCACGGTTGTCATATATGTGATTTGATAAAATTTGTAGATTCTTCAGGTCTAATTTATTGTTCCAATTTTTTTTATGAGATGGGTAAAATTATATAAAAATGTTTAAGCTATTTAATTAGCAATGTAAAAACAACAGAATACCATATATACTATAGATATATGATGAAAAATATTATCATGTATTCTCAATGTATTCTGTGATTTATTTGAAATTATATGTATCTTTCAATATTGTTATATTATTTAGCATTTCTTTCTTACTTCATATAGTTTTTTTTTCATATTTATATTATTTGTTGTAAAATAAATTTATTTAAACTATAGATTAGCCTTCAGAAGACGAACTAAGAAATATATATTTATTTTTTGTCTATATTGTATTTGTTTTTCCACACAATATTATCAATACCTATATAATAGTAGTATTTAATTGAAAATATTATATTATTAAAACACTTTAATTAATTATAAATAATTATTATGAAAAAGCACACAATTAATCAAAAAGATACATACTAATTATAGTATATAAATTATTATGAAGAGAATATTTGAAAATAATTATTTAATATAAGCAAAAAAATTACAAGATGTATTATAGATAGACGAATTCTATATTTATAATTTTGTAATTTTTCCTTAATAATTTTGAATAATTATTATTTAAATAAGTTTATATAAACGTGCAATTGTTGCTCATATTTTAGTAAATTATAAATTTATTATTAGTCTTAAATAATATTGAATGAAAAATGAGTAAATAATTTTTTGATTAACAATAGGTATGCAATCCATGCTGCAGACACTTCTGCCTAACCGTCAATCTAATATGATGCTACAACAAAATAACCTAAAAATCATAATCTGCAATGCCAACTCCATAATTGGGAAAAAATCGGTATATAATATTGTATATAATATTGTGTATACCTGCATCTAAAAGTCAACATGACCGATCATTTTTGTTAAAGTTCTTCACTTTGGCAACTGCTTAAAATATTAAATCAATTAACAATACATTAAAATCGGTCATACTTTTCCTTTTCTTTATAAATCTATTTTGAGCTTTATTAACTGATATTGTCAAACACTTTTGTCAAGTGTTTGTTTCCATTCAAAAAAGCGACCCATAAGCGTCTTCTTAAGCTACTTTTCCCAATCATGTGCCGACTTATATTAGTTCTCTATTAAATCATAATGGCATTATAATTATTTTTTTAATTCCATTGTATATTTGTGTTAATTATATCACTCAATACTTATATTGTTAAGATTAAATTAATTATCTTGAATAAATAATTTATTTTTATGTTCACGATTCATTGACTATTCGGTCTAAACTCAGATACTTAATGACTCAGCAAGCTACTGTCGCTTCTACCACAATTTTTATCCATTCCTAATGGTGTATTTATGCTTTTGTGTAAAATTTGATCATGAAATTTTGCTGCCGATTTAATTTGAATATTTAATCAAATAAATTTCGAAGTTTTCGATATTTTTGAAAGAGAAAGTTGTCTGCCTTTACTTTAGTAATTTTTTCTCTACTTGACTGTAGAAGCACTCCACTCTTTGGCTTGATATACTCATACTTTGTTATTATTAAATCCATAATCTCAAATTCGGAGTGGAGTTGTTATGAGTGTTTGGTTTTGATTTTCGAATAGATTACGCCAATATTCTTATTTTTGTTTTTAAGTTTGTTTAGATATTTTTTTTATATATAAGTTTAATAAAATTATTTATTCATAATTTCTCTTACATAATTTCTTTGAATATTTAATATTATTTACCTTATGAATTTGTATTTTAGGAATTAGCAAAATTATTTAACACATTTATGTTAAATGCCAATAGTTAAGTTTACAAAACAGACTTTGTAAAGTGAAGTGAGTTTCTTATTTAAAATTATTTGACAGAAAAGATAAAAATTATTTTTTGAAATAATTTTTGCATAATAGTTATATATGTTATATCTAGCTAAAGTAAACGTCAATATGGCATTGAAAATGTAATATTTACACTATTCAATACTTGATATCTATGTTTCCAATAGAAGTACCGAGATAAAATTGTCTACTACTTTTTAAATATATATATATAAGATTTCAAAGATAAAAACCAAAGTATGTTTGTGATAAAAATTTTTATGTTAGAAGCATTTGAATTTTGATTGATGGGCATATAATTAGTACCTTCTATCTTCAAAAATTTTGTAGAAATTTTTTTTTTCAACTTCATTTACAAAACCAAAGTTAGACTTGTTAGTTAGAGTTGCCTTATAGCCTTATGCTTAAACTTGTAGAAGTTTAAATATATGGGATGCTATATTGTAGTATACAATTCAGCAGCTCAGTAAAATAATAAAATATGTTCATAGAAAAATATTTGTGAATAATCATAACTAAGAAATAATTGCTTGTATGTACTTTAGTGGAAGAGAATTACTATTATAATTAACGATTAAAAGATGGTTTATTTTTTGGAGATAAATATGATTTAGATAAACGATTCACGATTGACTTTTACTCTTTGATATATAATCAACACAAATATTAAGCCATCACTATTAAGCTATTATACTTTTTAACACTGATGTAGTAATAAAAATTGCTTAAATCGCAGTTACTCTAAGATTTTCGAAACTAATAAAGTGGTTTGCATTCTTTTTTAGCTGATATCCATTATATCCATTTCCACCTGATTTTCTTTTTTCTTCAGAAACAAAAATGAAGATAGCATTGATAGTATTCTTTTACTTTTTTCATTTAAAATATTCGTCAAAGTCAATAAGTGTATATTCCATTTAATAATATATTTTACATTACAAACACCAATTCAAATCTTAATTTGATTAGTGGTAATGTAAAGCGTTGAAGACTGATACGCATTACAACCTGTTATCGGCATCGAAAGGGGTCTCAAAAATATATTTTACATCATAATTAAAGCATATATTGTACTAAACAAACGATTTAAAAACGATTATGCTTATTTATATATTTATAATTATAAATTATTTAATGTTTTTTTCTAACTCTTGAAAATGAGAAACAGCTCGCTGAACTGATCTCGTTGACATCCACGACTGTTTTAGCATCGGCACTAACTTTAAAAGTATCGATGTGGTTTAAAACCTAAAGATTAATGTAATCTGTAAATTCTATATACCCGCTTTGAGGTATCATATAAGTATATTTTTAAGTTTTCAATTTGTGTTTATTAAGATTACACTTTTCTCAACTCTAGAAATGAATGCTACTAAAAATATGAATAGGTTAAAGTTATTCAACACACATTTTTGCTTTTAACCATATGACACAATATTAAGTATATAACTGAATCAAGTTTAGTGAGTTTATATCTAAGTAAGAAACTATGAATGTGAAAACATAAATCTGAGTTTGATTTGTTTTACTCATGCAGTCATTTTTGTTTTTATCAGTGGATTGAAACGAATTTAGAATATGATTCTATACTTATATAGATAAATGCTCTAAGGTTTTTACGTTACCACACATACTATCGTGTGTCAACAGATAGTGAATTATAATCTTCAGCTTATCTAGATAGACATCCCAAGGCTTTCTTACTTTTTTCAGTTTTTGAGATCCACAAGTTACTTAAGAGTTATACAATTGTCACATTCAACATACTGTAAGTTTATAACATGATTTAAGATAATAAAATCTATTTATAACAAGAGTTTTTTCAAATTATTTGTATTATATATATTTTTTCCTAAAAGTATGCTTTCATTCGCATAATTTACATTTTCACTTTTGCAAAAAAAAGAAAGTATTTTGCAACACTTCTCTTTTTCACTTTTTCAAATATAATATATGTGACAAAATTATATTCCAATTTTAATAAAATAAAATAATTTAATTTTTTCAATTATTTATTAATTACTTGTTCAAAAAAATAAATTAAATAAATTAGTTTGTCTAGTGATTTATAAATTCTTTTAGTCTTTTAGATCGTAAAAATATTCAATTTAAAGCTGCAGCAATAGTTTTCATAAATTCATAAACTTCTTCACCCGATTCTACAATATAATGTGGTGGCATTAAATAACCGTAACGTCCTTGATCTTTAAGATACACATTATAAACGAATTTTGGGTTGAGGCGATGCTGCACCCAATCTGCAGAGTTACCAGCGTGTGACAGTTTAAGACGATAACCAGAACCAATACGGTATTCTGCTTGATTTAGCTTACGAAAATTCTATACAAACAGATATAAACAAATAAATTAATAATTTAATTTGTATATTCTCTTAAATAAATATAACTTACTAGAACTGCTTTGCGTGCAACTTTGTGTAAACTTCTTTGATTATTGGTAACATAGTCTGCATCACCCCAGGGATAAGCAATTGCTTGTCCGTAAGCACCAAATGATATATAAGCACCCAAATAATCTCGCATTTTTAACATAAATTGACGTATTGCTTTAGTCTCTGGTTCAGAAAATTTTGTAGGCCCACGATATAAATTTTTACATGGATTTTCTGAAGATCCTGCACCAGCCCATTGATACTCAAAATTTCTATCCAAATTAACACCATAACAACCAGTTTGTCTATCAAAATGTCGATTCTTTGTCCAAAGACGATCTGTAATTCTCGAGTACTGATAACCGTCAGGATTTGTAATTGGCAAGAAATACCAATCAATGTTACGCATAGCATTTCGTTCTGTATAATTGCCCCAAAGCCAAGTTAATTTAGAAATGGCATAAGTAACAGCTGCTGGGCTTAACCAATCTCGGGCTTGCATTCCAGCATCTATGAAAACTGCCCAATTATTTGGATCACCATTTGAAATTCTTTAAATAAAAATTTAATTAAATTATAAATTAATAAAAATAAATGTCTAACGTATATACTCACTTTAAAACTTCTAATGGTCTTTTGTGATTTGTTAGCCCAATCTGCACAATTTCTGCTAAATCTGAATAAGTTTCTAGTATGTGCTGCATAAACTGTTGTATATCACCAATGTCGTGATATCGATTCCAATTCATTATTGTACCTTTAAAATATCAAAAAAAAATTGTATTTAGTTTATTTTAATGTAATTGTAACTTTTTTTCTCTGTATTTTTTGAATTCAACTTACTTTCTCTCTCCAACCAGGGCATGTTTGAGTTGCTATTGTTCACTTCCATATAAGTGTCATCGATGGCCGTTTCTAAATCATCGATCATAATATTGTATGTAAATTCTGTTTTCGATATGAAGTCTTTTGCCGCCGCAGTGTGTTTGTAATCAATTAATATATCAATACCATCTTGATTAATGTTCCATACTTCAGTACCTGAAAAAAAAGTATATTGTTAGTAATTTGTTACTGTAAATGAAATGAGTTCAACTTAATACATTTAAGACATTTACATTTCATTGTAGGTAATTATTGGAATTTTCATTTTCTTTTTTTTTATATTAAGAATGAATAATTAATATTACTATTACGTTAAACATTTTTTACACATTCATATGGAAAAATTCTAGACGCAGTAAAGCTGGAAATAGCTTCAGAGTTGTTAATATTTTAATATTATTTTTTTAGTTTATTGTTATATACTTTTTAATATTTCTTATGTATTATGCTATATTGTTAAATGTTTATTATTATACAATATGACTACTTGGGCATATAACCCAAAATGTAGCATCTCTGACTTGGTACACAGAAGCAAATCAGAAGTATATAATTTAATATCTGCTCTAACAGTGCACTAGATCATAAGATGGCATGGTGTCTAGCGCGGCCTACCCTGTAGTATCCATTGTAGTACATGTCTAACGGCTCTCGTAGAAAAGACATAATAAAACCTGTTGTATT